TCATATATGTTGTTAAGTATAGGTGAACGATTAAGAACGTTGATGTCGTTAATCGAACCAAGAGAACCAAAAAAAGCCCACAGATCCTGTGATGCAACTGCTTCAAGTATGACCGTTGGGTGACCATGATCACCTCGGGTAAATTGTCCATGATATGACGTATGGCAATTTTCCCATGCCCAATGGAGAAAATCTAAACTTCCTAGCATTCCAGGAAACCCATGCACACTCGTATGATGAGCTTGCAATTGTAAGATGTCATTACGTGTAGGCTTACGTAAATATTTTGGACTATAAAACTGAATCACAGTTTTGCAGAAATAGTGGAGACTGTCTCGTGCGGTCCTAGCAGACATCCTAAAACTCTCATCTAATGCATTAGACGTAATGCCATATGCTAACCGACGAAGTGCGGTCGTGCATTTTTGTAAGAGAGTGAAACCGGGTGTACCTCTAGCATCGTAGCGTTGTTGAAAAAAACTGCACTCCCTCGTTACATCTTCAACTATACGTTCGTATAAACGTTTGAACATTCTGAAGCGCCTACGAAAATAGTACCCTTGATAAGTGACATTCTCTTGAAAATAGTCTTGTACCAAACGTTGGTTGGCTTCTTCACGATTTCTGAAAATATATCTTCGTGTTCTCCATTGAACACACACAACAGAGGCATCAAAAATAACTTGAAAATTCTTCAGAAGATGAAGAAGATGACATTTTGAGAGAGAAGAGTAAATTTTTTTTTCTATTAATTTTAAGAGAGAATGGTGATTTTTGTTTGAAAAATAATATAGTGAGTAGTATAATTTATAGGAAAGAAAGGAAAAGGGAAACAAAAAAAATTTAAATATTCGAAATTTTGACCGTTCAACGGTCCTTTTCCCCATCAACCAAATCACATTGCACGACTATAAATTGCCACACTGTGGCCTAAATCGCAGGAGACCGCAGTCAGGGGGCAGTGTGTGCGGCTGAGGTGGCAAAACCGCGGCTCCAAACCGTGCCACTTCTTCAAGCCTTACAAGCATTTCTTGAAAGACCCGATGTGGGTGGTCTTACTCTTCAATTCTTGGATATTGGTGTATTTGACATGTAAAATTGAGTTTATGTCCCTTGAAAGAAAGTGACCATTTGAAACAAAATCAAATAAATTGTTGAGGCCAAGTGCTATTATCTCTGTTTTATTAACTTTTTTAATAAATTAATAAATATAAAAAATTAAAATAAATCAGTAAGGATAAATTTGTCTTTTAACATTGTTTACGACCAAAATCGAAACAATACAAAATATTTGGATGGTCCGAATTAAAAGAAAAAGCTAGAGACAATACATACATATTACCCAAACCACAAGGACCATTCTTGTAATTTACTCTATTTTTTATTTTTAATATAATATAAATAAATATATTAGGAAATACGAAATAAATATTTAATCTCCATCAAATTTTTCGTGAAATACCACTTAGAAAAATGAAGACCATTAGGAAATAGGAAATAAATATCATGTCAGCGATAAAAGAGCATATCGATTTGTGGCCAAGAAATATGGAATAAAAGACAAGGGTATTATGGTCAAGAAATTATAGTGGCATTTTTCGTAAATAAACAATTTAAGGTATAAATTATTAAATATTTGCATTGTTTCTCTACAGAACCCTTGCCCTGCATCTGAAACCCTCCCCTTGCATTTGATTTCGCCTCCTCCTTCTCCCTTTCACAGTTTTTCCCAAATTTTCTCTAAAATGGGAGAGGAAAAACCAAAGCCAATCGCCGGCGTTTGGCCCACCGTTAAACCATTCGTCAATGGCGGAGCTTCTGGTATGCTTGCTACCTGTGTCATCCAACCCATCGATATGATAAAGGTACAATTTCGATTGAATCATTTCTAGTTCTACTTTTTCTTGTAATCGTGAATTATCGCATTTGTTACGCCTTCAATGATGGTAATTTTAGGGTTTAGATCTTGTGTTCTTTATTTGAAGGCTGGTTTTATCACGATCTTGTTTCTTTTTCGAATTGCATTACTGAGCTAATAGCTCAAAATGATTTGTGTCTTAGATTGCTGGTTTTTAACTCTACTTTTTGACAAATTTGATACTTGAAATAACTTTTTGATGTTTTTCTGCTTCGAATTTGATCTGGATCGACAATTTAAACTACTTATAATCTACACTCAGGTCGATTGTGTCCTTTTCACTGTTCTTAATTTGAAAATTGATAGAATTGTATCCTAGTGATTAGTGAATTTCTAATGGCTGAAAATCTGACATATATGAACTGTTTTGTATGATTGTATCTTCCACTAAACCAAATCTGTTTATCACATAAGATATAATATTTGTCTTAAATTATCAATAAATTTCCTAAATTATCGATCACTTACAGGTGAGAATCCAATTGGGTCAAGGATCTGCTGTATCAGTGACAAAGAACATGCTAAAAAATGATGGTGTTGGTGCTTTTTACAAGGTTTGTCTTAAATTACCAATAAATTTCCTTAATTATGAACCAAATATCACACACAAAAGCTCAACATCATGTTACATCATGTTTCAAATCATCATATTCATATATCTTCTAACCATGGTGTCATTTGGAGCATAGGGTTTATCTGCAGGGTTACTTAGGCAAGCCACATACACAACTGCAAGACTTGGTACATTCAGGTGAGTAATTATTTAGTCAAATCTTTATGTCACTTTCGACCCCTTTATTTTGTAAAATATTACTTTTATCCCCTCAAATTTGAACATTTATCAATAATTCAATATGAAATGATGAACTGAACTCTTTTCAAATCTTTTTTTATTTTTAGGATTCTAACAAACAAGGCACTTGAGGCAAACGAAGGAAAGCCACTTCCATTATACCAAAAAGCCTTATGTGGACTGACAGCTGGCGCGATTGGAGCATGTGTAGGGAGCCCAGCTGACCTGGCACTGATCCGAATGCAGGCTGATGCCACTCTACCCCTTGCACAAAGGCGTAATTACACAAACGCCTTTCATGCTTTATACAGAATCACAGCAGATGAAGGAGTTTTAGCTCTTTGGAAAGGTGCGGGTCCCACTGTTGTAAGAGCAATGGCATTGAACATGGGAATGCTTGCTTCTTATGATCAAAGTGTCGAGTTTTTCAAAGATAATCTTGGATTTGGTGAAGGTGCCACAATTCTAGGTAAGTTTTTTATATTATACAATCTTTAAAATGAAAAAATTTACAAATCTGAAATTATATGTTTTTTTTTTTTTTTTACAGGGGCTAGTTCTGTATCAGGGTTTTTTGCTGCAGCTTGTAGTTTGCCTTTTGATTATGTGAAAACTCAAATTCAGAAAATGCAGCCTAATGCAGAAGGGAAATACCCTTATACTGGATCTTTAGATTGTGCTATGAAAACCCTAAAAGCTGGAGGACCTTTGAAATTCTACACTGGATTTCCTGTTTATTGTGTTAGGATTGCTCCTCATGTTATGGTACTTTCTCTCTCTCTCCCTCTCTCTTTCTCTCTCACACACACATACACATATACATACACAAAAACACACACAAGAATTGGTTTTGACAAATTTGAATTCTGTGAAGTAAAGGGCAAATTGGAAATCTCTATTCTGATAATAAAGTTTGTTCTTTGATAAAATTTTGAGGAATGGTGATGATAATCTTGAAAATTTTAATTAAATAAGGGTTAATCTCAAAAAAGATCTTTTTTTTATGCTTTTTTTCGGATTGAACCTCAAATTTATTTTTTGCCTGAAAAAGGCCACCTTTATATTTTTTCCGAAAAAGCCCTCGACTTTGTATTTTTTCTCAAAGAAGACCCAAAACCCTGAACCTTCTAAATGCTTCCAAGTAAACCCTCAACTTTTTTTAGTTTTTCTTGAAAAAACTCTCACGTTTTATAATTTTTTTTTGGCAAAAAATGACTAGAAGGGTCAGATTGGAAAAAATGAAAAAATACAAGGTCTTTTTCAGGCAAAAAATAAATTTGAGGTTTAATCCGGAAAAAAACACAAAATATAAGGTATTTTTTGAAATTAACTCTAATACTAATAATAATAAGAGGAAATTGCAAGAATGTTTCATGAGTTTTGTGTTTTTTATTGCAATTTTGGGACCTAAACTTTAATTTTTGCAAATTCGGTTTTAAATATATAATCGTGTAGTTTCCTTTTATTTTGGTATGTGTGCCATGTAAAATGACGAATTTGCCCTTATCTGTTTTTTATAATTTTTTGTTCAAAGATTAGTAATTTTTTTTAATAAGATCTGTCAGTTTTGCAATTTTGGTTCTAGGGTTTTATTAATAAGGGTTAATTTAAATATGATGTTAAGTCCAAAATATAAATCAAAATATCAAATAAACATAAAATTATTGAAAGATGATTTTTTAAAATAGTTTAAAACATTTAAATGTTTTAAACATGAAACTAAATCGACATGTCGAATTAACTAAAAATACCCAAAACAAATTATTTATAATAATTGAAATTTTTTCAAATAAATGGTTCTTAAACCATAACCATTAACAATATAATAGTTAAAAAAAAAACATAACCTTATAAATTACATTACCTTACAAAAAATATCAAATAAGTAATTTCTAAATTATTTAATCATAACGTTAAAAGTAACATTAAATCGAGAATTATAACAATTATAAGTTTCTGATATTTTAATTTTTGTTTATACAGATGACATGGATTTTCCTAAATCAAATTCAAAAACTAGAGAAGAAAGCTGGATTATAAATTTATAATCGATGAAGTGAAAGCACTCTATATCCGAAATAACAGTGTTGTACTCGTTACAGGGTTTTTTTTTTTTTTTCGTTGTTGCTCATTTAGCATTGCTAAGTATTATTTTACTTATTAAATCAGAAATATTTCTATTTCCTAATTATTGTAAAATCATTAATGTTGTACTTCCTTTATAATAATCACAAAGACACATACTTTTAGGCTAGGATTAATTTCATATTTTAACATTTTGATATATATATTTTTTCGCTATTTAATAATTCTTGAGTTTACGTCTGCCACCTGCCTCGTGTCCTTGTGAGAGCGCCTGTTCCATTCCGTTCAAATGTGCTTTTGCCAACTTCTTTTTCGTTTCCTCGTCTTTTCACAAACAAAAAGTGTATTAGTAAAGATTTTGGTAGTGTTTGATACGAATGGAATTTGTAAATATAATTCATCTTTAAAAAAAATTTCAAGGTTTTAAATAAATGATAATTTTGTTTTCTAATGTAATCTTATTTACGATTCTAGTAAGTTTTTATTATGTTAATTTTTTAACTTTGTGAATAATTTTATTAGTTGGAATTACATAACATATACATTTGAGAGATTAAACTATACGTTGTATTTGTATAAAAAGTAAGATTTACATTACGAAAATTCATTCCATTCCTTCAAGATCATGTTTGGTTGGTTTGTAGGAACCAAATGAAATGAATTCTTATATGAACCATCCTGATTCTGATTCCGATTCCATTTCCTCAGACAAAACAAACAATTTTTTTTTCTTAATTTCATTCCATTCTCGCCTCGATTCAGGGAAACAAAACATAAACATACCGGGAGGGCATCCGCCAGGGCTATCGGGGCATTGTTCGCAATTAAGAACACAAAAAAAGTAGCATTCGATTTCTTGTGCCTCGGTGTTCCGCTTCATGCATTGGCTTGGGCATTCGCGCATGCATATTGTTTCCCCTTGTACCTTGTGGCTCAAGCAAGCCAACATCATTAGTGCAATAAAACTTAAGTTTTTCATTTTTATATCCATCTATCAAAAAACTATCTATGGTTTCAAAATCAGGAAGAGGGTTGGAAGGGGTAATTTGGGCTTTTGATTCATTTCTCTTCCTAGGGGTTGTCTTTGTTAATAAGAGAGCCTATTTGTAGTTGGGGTTGGTGTTTCTATATTTAGAATCGTTTGACTTCCATCTTTCTTTGTAGACCTCTCAAATCGTTGTCTTGGATGGTGATTCTATGAATTGTTTCCTAATATGGAAAGAAGGCAAAAAGGTTGGTTATTTGACTCCAAAAGTATAGATATCAGGTGGTATATAAATTACATCATTTGTTCAAAAGAGTTAGCATTATATAATAATATTATATAATGCTAACTCTTTTGAACAAATGATGTAATTTATATACCACCTAATATCTATACCTTTTTGAATCAAATAACCAAGCAAGACACTACGTTGAATCACCAACCAAGACAATATTTTGAGAGGTCTACCAAGAAAGATGGAAGTCAACAATACTAAATAAATATAGAAACACCAACCCCAACTACAAATAGGATTCTTATTAACAAAAAGAACACCCGGAGATGGTTCATCATTTGATGGTTCATTGTATAATATATTAGGTTTAAGTTATGCAATTATACCTATCAGTTTATGTGTGTTACATGTCCTAAATCAAACCAGTCCTTACTATTACGAAAAAATAATCATGGGTCAACCTACCAACTTGTGAACCCGAATCTGACCAATGAATCCGTGAACCCGTATAGGTAAATGGGTTTGACGGCTCGTGTCCGGATTGATATTTCCAACCTGTCAACCCATGACCCGCCAACCCACGACACGAATAATTATATGGGTCGTATTCGGGTTGATGCATTCTGACTTGTTAACCTGTGACCCGACCGCCAATCTGAACCCGACATGATTTCCACCTCTATATAGTATCATAGTGTGTTTGGATCATACCAAAGCAAAAGAGAAACAAAATTTTATGTGCATGATATGATCATCATGATAGAATTCTTTAAATATATATCCTAATCCAAAGACAACGTTTTAAAGTCGTGAATGTCATTCAAATAGCACATAGGCTATATACAAAATTACACACAATAAGCAATGCACATACATCATGAGAGATGAGATGTAAATATTTTATAGGGTGTGTGCTCATAATACACTATACAATTACATCAAAGTTTTAGTATGGGGAACTTTTAGACAATGGTTTATTGGATCTTATGTATAAGAAACAAAAAAGTTGTTACTGATTTATTTATAATCTATTAAACAAAATAAATAAATAAGAGTTGATTTAGTAAAACAAATAATATGATTTATTAATTAATAACTTTTGAAAGGACTCTAAAATCATATTTAACTAATTAGTTAATGGTTATTATTTAGGGTTTTGGTTTGACTAAATAAATGGCTTGAAAGGACATTATAAAACCCACTCATTTGGATTAGTTTATAAGGAAAGACTTTTTATGGTTAGTAAACATATGTTTGTAAAGAAAGTTCAAGTGGTCTGGTTTGGAATCTAGCAGTTATTAATGTGTGCTTCGCGTGTATACCGACATAAAGATCATAGTTTTGATATTGAATCAAAGGATATTCACTCTAAACCAAAGGTATAATTCAATTACCCTAATGCTTGTGTGATTGTGGTTAATCATGGTTTTATCCTCTCTTTGGGAATTAATTTTAAAGTGTTTTTTTTTTCTATTGAGACTTTGGTTACTTAATTGTTTTCCATCGTATAATTCCCTACAATGACATCAAGTCATTTTTTTTAATCTTTTGATAATCTTTAAAAAATTGTTTTGCTTCATGTATCCATGGGTTTGGTCTCAACTCGGACAATCGTGTCGTGTTTTTGTCTAACATGACACAACATTATAAGTTTTTATGTAACACGCACGCAACACAACACGATATGTTTTTTTTTTCACTGACACGAAAATGAAACAATTAAAACATGAAAAACACGATACGACAAAGATAACATAATAACTAATAGTTTATTTAATTCTTACTTAATCATATAATAACACCATAAACATGACAAATAAAATAAACAAATGTTAAATCATGTCAATTCCGCATCAAATTTTGAACACGAACACGATACGATAAACATGTTTTTTTTTTTTGCACTAGACACCAACATGACTTTAAATTTGAGTTTCACTCCAATTATGTTTTGTGTCGTGTATTTTTATCTTGACATCAATTCACACCCCTACTAATATCCATGTGATTATTGTTTGAAAGAAACAAAAGTTTCCAATTAAAAATAATGTAGATATTTAACTTTGAATTGGTTGATTAATTTTACTTGTTGAAGTATTATTAACCGTATAAAATTCACATGCATAGATTTTATAAAAATTTATTAAAATATATTGCATGTAGATGTAAAATTGTTTAATGCATTGCCCTTGCATGTTTGAAAGAGCTAATTTTGTCCTTTGCTTAGTTTCTCTTCCCAGGGGTTTTTTAGTTAACAATGGGGCTAATTGGGTTTGGTGGGTGTTTAGTTGGTTGAGATTGTTTAGTGTTTGTATTTCTATATTTAGAATTGCTGACTTCCATCTTTCTTGTGGGACCTCTCAAAACTTCCCAACGAACTCAAGGTTGGTGGTTCAAGGAAATGTTTCCAAACATAGAAAGAAGGCAACAAGGTTGGTTATTTGACCCCCAAAACTCAAAAGCATAGAAAATAATACTATATATAAGGTGGTTAATAACTTACATTATATTTAAGAGTACTTGAGATAAAGCAATATTTTATGTACAAAAGATGTTGTGGAGATCCATCTGTTATAAGATAAGTTGAAACAAGCATAAGTTGCAATGAATATTAATTTCAAAGTCTCATGTTTGTTCTTTAAAACATCATCAGGTATATGTACATAATCATCAATGATTAATATTAAAAAAACAAATTGATCTATAATAAACATTATGCATGTCAAAATGTTACTCAATTACTAATATTTGTCTCCTAAAACAAAAGAAGCATTAGGTCAAAAAATTCAAAGTTATAATGATTGGATGATCATGTGACCATGAAATCCCAATTCCAATTAACCGCTATTTTAACCAACTTTTGACTAAAATGACCAATTGCTAATCCAAGAGAAATTTATAGTTGTGTGTTTACAAGATGAGGAAACTAAATGCTCTTTTTACTAATCATTCGAATTACAAAATAATTAAGTTATATGATCCAAGTTAAATCCCCATTACTAATCATTCGAATTACAAAATAATACAAAATAATTAAGGAATGGGTCGAGGTTGTAGCTAGCAACCGCAGGTGAGGATGTCAACCCCATATAGATCAATACATACGTATCTCGCTCCAAAGATTAATGATTATAGTAATGTGGGTATGCTAAGTGTTTAGACTTAGCTAATGAATACAGTCTCACTAAAAAGATCTTAACTAAGGTATGTGAATAGCTCTCAGCCCTAACTTATAAGTGAATAAGTTACTAGGCACAATAAATTGTATAGAGTTTATAAAAGTCGAGCATAACTGATATGCATGTATAGTATAAGACACTCACTTTTATAACGAACTATGTTTCAATAAATGTACATGTATAAACTTTGTACATATACATGTATAGCTCAAATCCTTAGAAATACTATAAAGTTTTATGACATGCTTTTTATGACATATAATGTCACATAAAATCATAGAGTTTTGTAGTAAAAAGACATGTTATTTCTATTAGTTGTATCATTTTAACAACATAAAATATGAAAATATTGAGGTTTAAAACTAGTTTATGTGTTTATAACATATAAATGTCAAACCAATATTTTATAAATTAGTTATAGTTTTTACATAAAATAATAATATTTTATGTGGGTTTTTGCATAAACTAGCACAAGTAAGGACATGTATTCTCCCCCAAAACATATAAAAATATAAAATAGGGGACGTAACATTCACCTTAATGTGTGATTTGTCGGTTAATTTCGAGAAACTTGACGTGAGAACCGCACACTTGACGCTTTCAAATCGAACCAACGAGATTAATTTTGTTATCGAATTAACCAAAAAGAAGTTTTGGTATAAATTAATAAGTGTGGGGGTTGTTTTGTGACTTAACTAAACCATATGGTTGATTTACTAAATTAAATCAATGGAATGGGACTAAATTTGTTAACCATTTCCAAAGGAGTGACTATTTTAAACATTCGGAATGAAAGTTTGAATGGTTAGGAATCATTTATTAAAAATAAACCAAAGGAGGGACTGGAATGGGTTATTTAAATCAAAGTTTGTGGTTTTTGGACTTCTTTTGTAAGAATTTCTCAGGGAGTGTGTGTGTGTGTGGGGGGGGGGGGGGGTTAACTATTATGACATAAAGTTTAAGGAGGACCTCCTACTCCTATTACTGGTTCATGCATGCAACATCAAACAAAAATAAATAAATAAATAAAAGAGTCCTTGGCTTCGGTGGTTTACGAACAAAAGCAACACAAAAAAAAAATTTTAAATGGTGGTGGTGGAGTAGACACGAAGCAACAGCAGGTAAGAGGTGGTGGTGGTCGGGACCGTAGCAGCGGTAGGTGGCAGTGGTGGCGTCCGATGGTGGCAAGAGGTGGCTCCACTGCCTCCTATTGCGTTTCTGCCTCCGAAATGAAGGGGGGGGGGTTAGGTTGGAGGTGGAGGGAGGGAAGAAGAGTGGTTTTGGGTGGTGTTGCCTTGCCAAAACAGTGGGAAAAATTGGTGGAAGAGTGGTGGAAAGGTGGTGTTGTGGTGGTGATTAAAACCAAGAGAAAAAGAGATGGAGAGGGATAGATTGAGAGAAGAATGTTGATGATTTGTTGTGAATAATGAGAGCTCAAGTCCCTCTATTTATAGCTCAAGAAGGCATGCAAGCCTTGGAAATCCATACACACAATGCACCATACTTGTACCTTGAAGGAGAAGTGTGCAAACAAGGAAGAAGAAGAGGGGAGAGAGTATCAGGCTTATCCACGTGGGCTAGGGAAGGAAAAGAACCAAAGGGATTAGATTTTTGACTCTTGCAACTCATGTGGGCCCCACAAGGATGTCACAATCCCATTAATTGCCTAAAACAATCCTAGTTTGATA